CCGGGAGGGCGACCATCTGTCCCAAGGAGGTGTCGGATTTATCGTCCACAAGTCTCTCGTCAACAACGTTGTAAAGATTGGGAGTGTGTCGACGAGGGTCGCGTACCTGATACTCAGAATCACCAAACGGTATTCGCTGAAGGTCATACAGGTTTACGCACCAACCTCGGCACATCCCGATGAGGGGGTGGAGGAAATGTATGAGGATATTTCCAGAGCCATGCATTCCTCCAAAACCCACTACTCGGTGTTGATGGGAGACTTCAACGCAAAACTGGGCACAAGAGAAAGCGGTGAGCTGAAGGTGGGGAAATTTGGAGTAGGGCAACGGAACCGAAGGGGCCAGCAGCTGGCCGACTTTATGGAGAAAGAGGGACTCTTTATGATGAACTCTTTCTTCCAGAAGCGGCCCCACAGGAAGTGGACCTGGTCGAGCCCCGACGGTTCGACAAAAAATGAGATTGACTTCATTATGACGAGCAGACGCCAACTGTTCAGTGATATCTCAGTGATCGCAAGGGTGAAAACTGGCAGCGATCACCGAATGGTTAGAGGCACACTGAACCTAAACGTTAAGTTGGAGAGGTCTCGTCTAATGAAGTCAACGCTCCGTCCCCCCTCGTGCTCTAATCCAGAATCCCGAAACCTTTCAGCTCGAGTTACAAAACCGCTTTCAGTGCCTAGAGGATTGCAATGCAGTGGACGATATGAATGACAAGCTCGTGGAAACTGTCCATGCGGTCGGAGCTAAGTTCTGCAAGACCCGCCGCAGAAGAACACAAAAACTCTCCGATCACACTCTTAATCTCATGGCTGTTAGACGGGAGATGAGGCTGCAATCGTCAACAGATTTGACAGCATACAGGCAGCTGAACAGACAGATCTCCAAATGCATGCGGCGAGACTTACGCAACGTTAATACTGCTCGTATTAAAGAAGCGATCGAGCGGAACCAGGGCTCCAAAGTCTTTGCCAGAGATCTGTCTGCCAGAAGGAGCCAACTGTCAAGGCTGAAGACTGAGTGTGGCAACATCGTTTCCGGGACACCTGAGATTCTGAGTGAGGTTGAAAGGTTCTATGGGCAGCTGTACACATCATCGTTGGAGCCACATGCAAGTGTGAGTAACGATCCAAGAGCAAGTCTTATCCGACACTATTCCGATGATATCCCAGACGTCAGTCTGAGCGAGATTAGAATGGCTCTCCACCACCTTAAAAACGGCAAGGCCCCGGGCGAGGATGGAATTACAGCGAGCTTCTGAAAGCGGGTGGAACACCGGTACTTGAAGTCCTTCAGGAGCTCTTCAATTCCGTCCTCCATGGTGGCATTACTCCGGAGGCGTGGAGCTGAAGCGCGGTGGTCTTGTTCTTTAAGAAAGGCGACAACGCTCTCTTGAAGAACTACAGACCGATTTCCCTTCTGAGCCGCGTCTACGTGCTGTTTTCGAGAGTCATTACGAATCGTCTCGCACGCAGACTCGACTTCCAGCCTCCCGAACAAGCCGATTTCCGAAAAGGCTTCAGTACCATAGACCACATACATACCCTTCGGCAAATTGTACAGAAGTCCGAAGAGTACAATCTGCCACTTTGCCTGGCGTATGTGAACTATGAGAAAGCCTTTGATTCCGTCGAAATTTGGGCGGTGCTACAGTATCTCCAGCGGTGCCTAGTTGACTGTCGGTATATTGAAGTGCTGAAGTGTTTGTACAGTAGGGCTACGATGGCTATCCGAGTACAGAACCAGAGTACGAAATCTATCCAACAGCAGAGAGGTGTAAGACAGGGTGATGTTATATCCCCGAAACTCTTCACCGCTGCGTTGGAAGACGTTTTCAAGCTACTGGACTGGAAAGGATACGGTATTAACATCAATGGCGAGTACATCACTCACCTTCGATTTGCCGACGATATAGTCCTTATGGCAGAATCGCTGGAGGACCTTAGCACTATGCTCAATGACCTCAATGGAGTCTCCCAACGGATAGGTCTTAAGATGAACATGGACAAAACAAAGATCATGTTTAATGTCCATGTCACACCTATGCCGGTAATTGTTGGGAGCACTATGCTCGAAGTTGTTGACGAGTACGTTTACCTGGGACAAATAGTCCGACTAGGTAAGTCCAACTTCGACCGAGAGGTTAATCGACGGATTCAACTCGGCTGGGCAGCGTTCGGGAAATTACGACACATCTTCTCATCAGGTATACCTCAATCTCTGAAAACTAAAGTGTACAACCAGTGCGTGTTGCCAGTGATGACTTACGGATCTGAGACGTGGTCCTTCACCGCTGGCCGTATGAGGACGCTCAAGGTCGCTCCGCGAGCTATGGAGAGGGCTATGCTTGGAGGTTCACTGCGTAAACGCATATCCGCAGTAAAACCAGAGTGACCGACATAGCCCAACGAATTAGTAAGCTGAAGTGGCAATGGGCCGGCCATATAGCTCGAAGAACCGATAACCGATGGGGAAGAAAGGTTCTCGAGTGGCAGCCTCGTACCGGTAGGCGTAGTGTAGGGCGACCCCCCACTAGATGGAGTGACGACCTGGTGACACATGCAGGAAGTCGATGGATGCAGGTGGCTCAGGACCGTGCTTTGTGGCATTACTTGGGGGAGGCCTATGTTCAGCAGTGGACTTGTGAAGGGCTGTAATGATGATGATGATGATGATGATGATGATGATTACATGGATATAACACTTGGTTGAAAATAATATAATATACCTACTTAACACGTAAATCTCATCATAAATTAAATATGAACATTTATTTACAATAATACGGCGGCATAAGAGAATGCCTTATCCCATTCCATCTCGTGGGTGTCCTAAGAAGCCATTATGGGAAATTCGAGAAAAATCTAATGGCTTATAGTCCGATAGGTGGCAGTTGCTCTATCTCGTTTACACTATACGTAAAATAACTAGGGCGGCGACAAGGAGCAGAGTAAAAAAAAACAAAAGAAAATATGAAGTGAATGTAAAATTTTAGCACCACCCCAAGCCACTTGTTCTAGTAGTATAAAGTCACACATCGTAGGCGACTAATTTAATCAGTCTTACCACGAGTCAGTCGGTCTCCCTCTTCGTGGTAATTTCTCTGTACAAGATTGTGTTGAGGAGGGGCTGGTCTGTTATTTTTTTTAAATATTAGTAATCTTATTACGAGGGTGGATTGAAAAGTACTCGGCCTAACACAGATCCATTCAATTCTAAAAATCAAATCTACCCACATTATTTAGTTCAGTTCAGACTAGTTCATTGTGTGAAGTTCGAAACGTGTGCGATAATTAGTTGTAACTTTATAAATTTATTAACAAAGTAATCGGACATAATTTCCGCGAATGGAGCAAATCGAGCAGCGTGCCGTCATTAAGTACCTCCATAAGAAGGGGCTATCATCAAAAGCCATCCATGATGACATGGTCAGTACATTAGGCGGTTGTGTTCTGTCATATTCATCCTTTTGACGGATGGATAGCAGAATTTAAGCGTGGTAGAGTGAGTGTGAAAGATGAACCCCGCTCTGGAAGGCCTTCGACGTCAACTACTGACGAAAATATTAAAAAAGTACTTGATTTAATAATGGGAGACCGCAGATTAAAAATTAGAGAGATAGCCGAGATTATAGGCATCTCTTATGAATGAACTCAAAACATCATTGTCAACGAGTTGGGTTTCCACAAGGTGTCTGCGAGGTGGGTTCCGCGACTGCTTTCAGTTGAACAAAAAAGGACGCGATTGACTATTTCACGCGACTGTTTGGAGTTATTTGAAGCCGATGCAGATGATTTTTTGAATCGTTTTGTTACCATGGACGAAACATGGGTTCATTACTGTACACCGGAAACAAAACAACAATCAAAACAGTGGAGAAGACCTGGTTCACCACCCCCTAAAAAGGCTAAGTCGATTTTGTCGGCAAATAAGGTGATGGCTTCAGTATTCTGGGACTCGAAACGTGTGATTATGATTGATTATCTTGAAAGGGGTCAGACTATAAACTCTGATTACTACTGCACCTTACTACGTCGTTTACGAGAGGAAATAAAAGAAAAACGTCGAGGAATGCTCAGAAGAAAAGTCCTGTTTCATCAAGATAACGCCCGTGTTCACACGTCAGTACAGTCAATGGCTGAAATTCACAACTGTGGCTTTGAACTGTTACCGCATCCGCCGTATTCACCTGATCTGGCACCATCAGACTTCTTTCTGTTCCCTAACCTAAAAAAGCACTTGGGAGGTCAAAGATTTTCGACAAACGACGAGGTCAAAGCAGCTGTAGACGCATATTTTGACTCTAAGGAAGAATCATTTTTTTCAACGGTCTAAATGCTTGGAAGGGGAGGTGGCAAAAGTGTATTGAACTTGATGGTGATTATGTAGAAAAATAAAAATATAACTGATTTAGTATGTGTTTATTTTCTTGGTTAGGCCGAGTACTTTTCAATCCACCCTCGTAATTAACATTACTAACATTCCTTTTAATCACTCCTGGTAAGCTTGAAACGCTTGTGTTAGGAGTGGTTCACGACAGTTGTCAAATGGCGGATTCGAACCCACGACCTTTTGAGTTCGCGATCCGCGCCCTGCCATTAGGCTACTGTCGCTTCAATGTTATGGGTTTGCATATTTAATCTATTTTGGTGTTAATATCTTGTATTAAGTTCTAACTGTCCTACTCTAACTTCCTATGTTTCATGAATGTTTTAATGTAAATTTGTTACTAAGAAATGTATTTATTATATTAAAGAGTAATTTACAATGTCAGAAATTAAAAAATCTAAAACAACTATATATATTAAAATTTAGTAGAGAATTGTCCTACGTACAAAAGATGATAGTGTAAAATGTCATCTTTTGTAATATTATTCATGGTTGTAGGAAATTAATTAATTTAATTGTAATTACTCATTTCGCGATATCGCTGCCTATAGGCATGCTACGAGTATGTGAAGCTATGTTATTTTAAGTACAAAATTAATTGGTTTTATACCTTTTATCTCGTCTCCGTGATCTTCCACTTCTTTTTGACTCGCGAGGTTCTGAAACTCTAACGTCTTCTGATACAGAAGCTTTAAGATTTTGAGAAAAACTAGTAGATGAATCACATATGTCATCTAATTTAATATTCTTTTCTACTTCCTCAGTCCAATCCTTAAAATAAATACGTTAAAGTTATTTTTAAAATATATTTATCTTTCAGTGTGGATTTGGAAGAAAAAAATGCCATGTATTATATAGTCACTCAAAAATGATACGAGATAATAAAGGTTAGCAGTAAGCATAAAAATCGCAATAATATCAGCTATATTATAATGTTGAACTTAAGAAAACTTACAAGATAGATAATAAAAGTATATAAGCAAGAGGACATACCAAATTTGACATATCAGCAAGATTTGTTGCATTATTTAAAGCTGATTCACTTTTGTTTTGATTGTTCTTACTAAGCTCACTTTCCCAGTACTTATTTTCTTGTTCATTTGATGGACTGTTACCACCATGATTACTGACTGGAAATCAATTTTTAAACATTTTTCTTTTAGTTTTATAGGTGATGACAATAGTATAATATATGTTACAGAAGAAAACCATGTTTGACAGAGTAACATAATCCAAAGAATAGGCGGGTGATAGGGGCAATTTCTAGTTCAAAATGTATTTTTATTTTGGTTTTCGTATTATAGTATATTATTTTATTAGCATTTGCCCTCGGTTTGGGTAGCGTTCAATTCACTTAAGAAAGAGATGCATGCAAATTCACCAAATCAAGAAGGCAAGGGCGACCCGAGGGCGGTGCGAGCGGTGCGACAGCACCGGGCGCCGTCATCAGTGAGGCGCCGAAATCAACCGAATTGCTACCACCGGGCAGCGGTCACCGGTCACCAATTCACTCACTCTTATCACTAACATTCTGTTTTGTTGACGCTTATTAGGAAGTCAAAGTAAAGTATTTTGTTGCTTAGAAGCCAGTAAGTGACTTCGGAAGAAGGACTTACTGGCCTCTTTCTTGATGCAATTGTACAAATGTTTGACTTAGACATGAATGATTGTCGAGGTCAAGGGTACAATGACGGTGCGAATATGGCAAGAAAATTAAAAGGTGTTTAAACCAAAATTTGATGAGGTATTCTCGGGCATTTTTCAATCCTCCTGGTTGAAGTTATAAGAACTTAATTTGCTCATATTCGCGTGATAAAATAAAAAGATGTATCCTGCCCAGTCTAAAGAGCATCTCCCAACCCCCCCTCAATTGCATGCACTATTTCTGTCACCACCACAAAATTCTTTCAAAATTTCATAAATGTCGTTCTATTCACTGAGAACATATGATGAGAACTAAATTCATGAACAGGAGTAGAAATCTGCATAAGATGGGCAGCAGCATCTTCCTTAGCATAGCTCGTAATAATAAAAATTGCAGTTGGCAACTCGCATGCCAAGTGAGGCAACTATGGCAAATATCCAACTTTATGGCAGTTTGTAGAGGAAAACCAATAGATGAACGGGAGTAGAAATAATATACTTGCCATGTAGAGGCAGCGAAAAAGAAACCACTACCCCATTTTTTCTCGTGGGTGTCTTGAGAGGCGACAGAGGGAAACTGAAACAGGAGATGGGTAGCATCTTCTCGATAACAGCGCAAAGTAATAAAGAGCTGAGTTTGCCAAGCGTGAATAATAATAATAATATTTATTGTTTCTCACATAACTTATACAAACAAATCATATTGAAGCTCTTTAGCCCGTGGTAGTTGAAAACTGTGTTACAGGCTACAGCGTCTTCCTCGTTTCAATGACACATAGTTGTAATGTGACAAACTATTATAGCAAACGGTATAAAATTAGATAGAATAACGTCAAAAGTAACATATAAACGAACAAAGTAAAAAGAGAAAAAAAAATAATAATAAATACTACTAATACTACTGCAAATGCCCAGTCTATTTGACATAGGCAATAGGGAAGCCTATGATCAGCAGTGAAAAGCCCTATTAAATAATGATTTCTTATATTTACGCGAACACTATACATGATTAAAACTACTTTTACGGATTTTATCGCGTTTATTTTTACTTTTTATTTACTTTTATTTTTAATTCCCGACGTTTTGGGCGCTTTCCAGCACCCATGGTCACAGGGGACTGAGATGACTGACGTCCCGATGTCATTGTTAAACCCCGAGTACCTTCAGCTTTTTTAATTATTGTTTATGGTCCGATCTATGCAAAATGAACTGACTATGTCTTGAGGTCTTGCAGTGGTATGCTTGGGTTTAGTTTTAATTTTATTGATTATAGGATCCCAAGCAGGTGGTAGTACCCAGCCTCCTTCTCTATTGAAATTAGGATGTTTTTTAATTTCAATAGCCTCACGTATCATCCTTGGTAGGAATCGGTGTTCTTTCGCGAGGATTTGTGGTCTATCAAATCTGATGTAATGGTTGGGTCCGTCTAGGATATGATCACAAACTGCAGACTTCCCGGAACGTTGATGCTTCACATCAGTCTGCAGTTTGTGATTATTAAAACTAAACCCAAGCATACCACTGCAAGACCTCCAGATATAGTCAGTTCATTTTGCATAGATCGGACCATAAACAATAATTAAAAAAGCTGAAGGTACTCCGGGTTTAACAATGACATCGGGACGTCAGTCATCTCAGTACCCCGTGACCATGGGTGCTGGAAAGCGCCCGAAACGTCGGGAATTAAAAATAAAAGTAAATAAAAAGTAAAAATAAACGCGATAAAATCCGTAAAAGTAGTTTTAATCAGCCCTATTAAAAGTAAAAAAGTAGCAACTTAAATACATCCCACTACTGGGCACAGGCCACAGCGAGTTTTAGGTCAAAAAGGATTTAATTAAGTTGACTCCAACGTAGAATGACCGACTTTCCATACCTATACCAAAAACAATATCCAAAATATTTTTTAACATCTCAGATATTAAAAATATGCATGGTAAATCAAAACTTCAAATATGAGTGGATTCGGCGCGGATCTAATTTGAGTTATTACATATTAACTATGAAATTTACGTTTACTTCAGTTTGATTACCGGCTTATACAGATGACTTTCAAGATTCTATCAATGCATTTGCACTACTCAATACTCATAGTTAAAATAAAAACAAACCCGTAACCGGGACTGTCACAAAAATTTTAATAGTTATGTCTGAAAATCTTTCATATTTTCTTAATATATGACAAACTGTCTTAAAAATCTCATTAAAAGTAAAACAGACCGCACCAGCGGTATCACAAACTATTGCATCAATTATGATTAAAAATCACATAGTGCATTTAATTTTCACTTATACTTATATCAGACTTGATACAAAAAGAATTTGGTGAAATATTGCTATTCCGATAGGTGTACATAACATATTCATCTAAAGACCTTCTCTCTTAATCAAACTTTTGTGTACACAGTTTTGTTAGTAATTTTGTTAAAATTGACAATTATCCTATACCTTTAAACGAGCCGGAAACGGCTCCAACGATTTTCATAAAATTTTGTGTGCAGTGAGTTTCGGAGGCAATAAATCGATCTAGCTACGATTTATTTTTAGAAAATGTCTTTTTGTCCGTGTTTTTAGGCAATGAAAAACTGCTACAATATCATTAGAATAAGAAGGTAAATTTTGACAGTTTATTAATGATTACAAATAGCTTAATTGGTATATTGCGCGGTCACAAAATCGTAATACCATGGTTCGAGCCCAGACCAACCGACCGGCCTTTTTTAATATTTTTTTCAAGTTCCTTTCTTTTTTGAGAAAATCTATTTTTTCGTGGCCTTTTTTTAGTATTTTTTAAAAACACGAAAATTTAAATTAAATTAATTGCACTCATGATTTTTATTCAAATAACCAGTTCAGTTTTTTCTATTATGTCGCTACGATCAAAAAATATTATTCATATTTCATCAGTATGTAATTTGTGTCTAAATATAATTTCCAAAACACACGAATAAAAAAAAACCGAGCGAAAAATACCGAGCAAAGCTCAGTCAACCGGGTACTAATTAAATAAAACAGGCAGACAGCGGCCACACACAGTCTGACAATTTTTTGATGCTGCAACAATAAGTACATATTTAATAGAATTCACCAGTTATGTACTTATAATTAGTTTATTTAGCAGTAAGTAGATGGCGCTATTTTTACATTAAAACTATGACAACCTAAACTTTACCCTCTAGATCTCTTTACACACAATAAGTTGAGGTGCGACTGGAGTGGCTCTATTGCACAACAAAGCTGCTAACATTTTTATAATACATAAATTTGGCATAAAGTGATCTAGAATCTATTAAAAATTCTGCTTTTGTCAAATATACGCAATAAGCGCCACTAGGGTGTGTAATGAAATTATTTTACGATATAACAATAACATCTATAGAAATAGCAATGTCACGTTTAGTTGTTAAAATTCTCCAAACAATCTCTATTCATTGACTTGGTCAAGCTTTATCATGATATAGTCAACAAACACTGTAAAATTTTATGAAATATCTCCATTTCTCTTTCAATAATTGACTAATTTATGATATAAATGCTAAGATATGACCAATAGACACACAAAAATCTTTTTATTTAAACTAAAAGGATAATAAGAGTTTTGTACTTATTGCAATTTTTATCAGTTTATTTATAGTTAAAAAACTAACACCTACTAGAACTTTTTATAGATTAAAAATAAAACTGAGAAACATCGGTAATTTTATGATTTTCGCTAGATGTCCCTATTACCTATTTACGAAGTAATTTGTTACTAAAAAATTTATTAATATCTACTAACATGAAATAACAGAAACTAAAAAATGTACATTACAATTTTGACATAAATAATGAATTTAATTAAATAATTATAAAAATGTTATATTATTTAATTTGTTAGTGAAGGCAAAATGTCATTACTTTTTGTATTATATGTTAGATGGCATTGTTTTGAAAAAGTGCATGCAACAATAATATGTCGGTGTAGTTCCATTTATTACACAATGGTTAAAACTAGTTTTGGGTTTTATGTATGAATATTTTATTTATTTTAATAACATACATCAATCATATAAAATAGAAACTAAATATATAAAGGAAGGAAAATACTTAACTCTCCTTTTTTGAAGTTTCATAATCGTATAAAAGTAATCGGATAAAAAGTAGCCTATAAGTAGCCCTGGGTTCTTAAGTACCTACATACAAAATTTCTTGGAAATCTGTTCAGTATGTTTTGTGTAAATCTTGAATACACAGACAGACAGACAAAAATTCTAAAAACCACTAATATGGCTTCAGTACCCTTTGTTTAGTCCCTTGGACTTGTTTTTTCCAGATAATATTAGAATATCAGACACAACCTTTCTACAGATTTGTTATATGTATAGATAATAAACTTGTAGAAACTTATGTAATACATATAAAACTAATTCAAATTTTTTACTAATTCAATTAAACAATTGATTTAATGAAAATTCACTTCATTAATCATTGAAGCAATATTCAATAATAAAATTTTGTTAAAAATTGCTTGAATGATCTTTTTTTTTAAATTGGATATATTTTATTTATATAATGAATTTTTTGATCCAAAATATTTTTAGTTAAATAAATATAAATATTTTGTGTTGCCTATACAGTTGTCAGAAAGATTAGCAAATGCAGTTTCTTATTGTGTTGGGGTTATCAGGAAGATGCTGCTGCTCATCTCCTGTTTTGGTTTCCTTCTGTCACCTGTTACAACACCTACAGCACACTATTGGGTAGTGGATATCCTTACACTGCCACTGCTTGGTATGAATTATAGATATTTATAATTATCACAAAATGGAAATACTTACCACTATCGTAAAACTCATTGTGAATGTTACCAGTGCAAATTAATTCATCAGATTTTGTATTAACATTCCTATTATCCATTAAATTTGTTTCATATAAATTCATATAGGAACTGCTTGGAGTGGATCGTCTTGAATCTTGAACATCATAATTTTTAAAATATGAATTATAGAATTTTTCCCTATCAAAATGTTCATTATCTCTTAACCGCCCTCTCCCCCTTGATGGTAAAGTTTGAGACCAATATGTATTAGTGTTGTTAAATTGGTTAGGACTATAAATGGACTGAGTAGATGAAGTGTCTCTATTTTGCTGATCTATGCTGTCATAATTTTGATGTCCAGATTGTTCCAAGAACTTCTTTCGAAATCTTGGTGGTATATTATCCAAATTGATATACTTAGGTCTAGGTAAATCAGTTGGATAACCTGCAGAATTTCTACGTCCCGAAGGTGGTTTCCCACCTGATCCTGACTTATGTCTACCAGCCCATGTCTCCATACTTCTACTGTCGCGATTTCGATCTACTATATTTTGTTCTTGAAGGCAATGTGCAGGTGATATAGACCTAGACTCTGATAAATGTCTATTATGTCTGTTGGAGTTTATGTCATTATTTACGCCTTCATTGTGTTGATATTCCATAAAAGGTTTATCTCTTCTTGAAGTGTTTCTACAATATGTAGATCCATCATGTTTGTTATCCTGATTATTGGACATTCTTCTTTTAATGTATTGACTAGAATTATCACACCTTAATGGCGTCTTAGATTGTCTGTCGACATCACTAAAAGAATCTCCGGATCGGGGTACGTATAACTGCTGTTCAGGCTTTTTTAGACGTGTGTTTCCTGACAACTGTTCTCTGCACCTTGAATCATCACCATTGATAGAACTTTGTGATCCAACGCGGTTTAATTCTTTACCTTTATATCCACTATCTATTTCACATGTATCCATTTTACCATCCAAGCCATACCTTGATCTTCTCAGAGGTCCACTACCAGGTTTGTATATTTTTTGTTGTGGCTTGCTTTTCCTGTAATCTTTACAGTCATCATCCATAGCTATTATCACAAATATTACGAATACTTCAAAACAAAGCCATGCTACTTAAAATATAAAGATTCGCCCTACAATTTAATTAAAACACCATAAAATTATTAATTTGACTATCGAGTGTACAGGTTATGTTTAAAATATTAGCTGAACAATATTATAATCGTTTAACTTTTGTTAATATAAGGCTTTAAATGGCAAAAAGCTCTTCACCTTAAAATATTATATAGAGAAATATTCTAGTAATAAAAATATAGAATGAAAACAATGAATCAAATTTTAATAAATCGTTTATGTTGTGCACAGAGTGAATTATAATCACAGAACACTATTACTCCTATCGGAGAAGAACGACAACTTCATACAAAATTTAAGAAATGAGATATATAACTACTAGCGCTATCTATCGTCAGCCTCCAGCACTTCTCGTGTGGCGGGAAAATTTGGATGTGGTCTTTTTTGTTTTTTTTTATTTGAGGTATTTTTGGGTTTCCTATCCCAGCGTTCAATAAAAGAACAAAAATTACAAAATTTCTATTTATTTATTCAAAATAAAAATACAAATTAAATAAAAAACATACATAACTTAAGAAACAAAATTTCTCAAGCAGCTTAGTTCTTTCTATAAAGACATTTGATGGGTTTAAAAATGAAAAGAAAATCAATATTGATTACAACATTTCAATTACTTAAGTAAACAATGATAAAGAATTTAAATAAGATTTACAATCATGGATGAATTGATAATATGCACAATGATTGTCTACAATAACCAAAATATCAATATTTTAATCAAAAACAAGTTAATTAATAAATAAGCTCCTACACACAAGTGCAAAGTGCAACATTCACAAATAATAATTTTGTTTTGATAATATTTGGTTATCTATCTATTTCCCTGAATTGACACTAAAAATTTTGTCTCTATATTATATGCAATATATTAATGCAGCTTATAAATAGAATAATTTTAATTCAAAATTATAAAACATATTAAATATTAGATTACAAAAATATTCCTTATTTCATTTTAAAAAATTTCATATAGAGTACTTTCTTTTTCAGGTTCAACATTATGTGTTATGCTTTGATGTTTGTGGTTGTTCTTCAGTGGATATGATGTCCTTTTTGAAGATCCTGCTTGTGGTTTTGCAGCAATAATTTGCGAGGGACCAGCTTGTGATTCCACAAAATAAAATGGGAATACACTTTGTTAGTCTGGAAATAAATAAAAACTGAAATAAATTATAGTATCATAAAATTATTATATAAAATTAAATTAACATTATATTCATTGACATTACTTTCATAGTAAACCAGTCCCTACTCATGGCACTACATTACCCTTCTATCAATACAAAATAAATGAATGGTCTTGTTCATCCAACTTGCTCTATAATACACCCACTATTTTAATATAACAAAATAAGATAGTAAATACAATAACTATGTGAAAAGAAATCTTGTGTTTATCTATTGTTTGAGAACCATTTGATGCATGTATTTCTACTGTGTTGTACAAGTTGTGCCTTTAAATTTGATAGGTTTAGGACCAAATGTAATTATTCATATTGTGATGCCAGAACTTTCTTAAGGTTTGTTGTTGTTTTAAAATAAAATTTGATTGTTAAAAATAATATGCAGTGTGTAGCACTTTTAATAATGTAAGGAAAGGCTTGTGTCAACTTTATAGACTTCAATCCTTTGGATGCTTTGTCCGATCCAATTTAAATTAGTTGAAAGAATTAACAGGATTCAAACTACCGTATGTGGTCTATCCATCCATGTTAGATCCAGATGATGGTCATATGAATAATCATCATCATCTTTATTACAGTCTATTAAAGTCCACTCCTGAATATAGTAATCCCCATATAAAATATCTGAGTAATCCTTAAAGAAAACTATATACATACCATATTACCATATACATTATACACTTTACTTACATCACATGGGACTGCAGTTCTTAAGAGCTTTTTCTTGGTTGCATCATTAAATTAACCATCATGAAAATGTTTTTCACACAGCATTATATGATTATAATCATTATAATTTTATATACTCTCTGTCTATCTCTTTGGTATATAAATCTAATCTATGCTTAAAACGTATTGAGTATGGAGTGTAGAGGTAAGGACTACAGAATCTGTATAAAAATATGTCCGTAGCCGCTCGTTTGCTTCTTGTAACCGCAGTTGCAAAACCAGAATCCTTAACTTTGCTCTTTGCAACTGTGGTTGCAAAGCGACGAAGTTCTTTTAATTGAATTTAGACAGTATTTTAAACGCACAGAGTCTAACTAACTATTACGTATTAAAACTAAAAACAAATATACAAATCATAGATTTGGATCAAAATTACCGACCTCTCGAACGAAAAATATCGAAACATTGTTAGTTTAAGTTTAGTAAATGAAGGGACGCTTGAGTGGATTTAACGAGGTGGTAAAATATGCCGTGAGTATTAAATTTTATTGATATTTGCTAGTATTTATACACCAAATTAATGTCTTATTAATGTTCTCTTGTATTATATTAATATTTTTGCAAATACTGTATTAAAAATGTGATAAAGTCGACTTTTAAAAATACTCAAAATGACGCGAATCTAAACATAATTTTCTATATACATTATCGTAATTATGTTGTATTCTTTAAATACGAAATAGTCGTAGTGGTATTTGAATATAATTATTCAATTTAAATAATAAAGTTTTATAAATTGTTCATCATATTATAATATATTGTGGAAATAAAACCGCCCGGTGAGTTTTTACCTTGTCGAATTACTTTTGCCACTCTAGTTGCAAGAAGCAATTCAAGTGTTTAGGCTTAGGGTTGGTGCTTGGTGGATTTTTGAGCATGAAATTTACTTTGTGTTTTTCGCAACAAATATTGTGTTGTAAGTGTGGTGTTATGTGTGGTGAAAAAAGTGAAGCTTTCATTTAGGTGATGGTGACAGCTGAAGAGTTTTTTACACTTCCGGTTCTTTATTTTCAATGTTTTTAAATATAGTGGACAAGGTAAATGTAATAATGAAAAAGAACGAGGTAGAGGATGAAGTAAAAGACTAGGTCTAGGGCCTGAGAAAGCATGTGAGAGCAATGATAATCTTGTAATACCAGTTACTAGACTCCACAGAATTAGTAATTCATTTATAGGGCAATGTAAACGCTTTTACAATAAAGTCCCAGAAAATGTACAAAATTTGTCATTAAACTAGTTTAAACCTTTTATTAAAGAAAAATTGTACAAAAAGCGTTATTATAATATAAATTCATACATAAATGAAAATAACCCCTGGGAATGAGGTGATCGCCGCCATGCTGTTTCTATAAAAATCATACAAAAATTACACAAAATAAATTTATTGTTAATTAAAATATGTTCAGAAAAGTCGCGCTGGGTTTCTTGCTGGTTCTTCTCAGGACAGAGGATTTTTGGGGAACCAGTAGTAAATAAAAAATTGACTTTCAATAAGTATTATACAATATAGATTTATTGAATAAAAATCATTCATTTCATTTCATGACATACGGTGGTGAAACGCTGCCGACATTGAATGCCTCTTTGCGTTGCAGAAAAGGGCTGTTTGGACTATCTATGTTATGAGGTCAGTTAGTTGATGTTGTACCAACCCTAGCTAAAGTCGGTCGCCATCTTTACGATTCGTTCCCCAAGCAATCGATCTCAGCGTTTTTGAGAACATATTTAGCCAGATTTATTTTATTTTGTATTAATTGTAAATATAACATAATTTACAAGTTTCCTCCTGTTTTGAAAACTTCAGGACTTTGCCCGTTTATTGTATAGGTGTAATTGATTGCGTCGTGAAATGTATTTCCAGATTTAACAATTTAACTAATTAAATATTAACTAATTAAGTATTTTCAGCCAATTCGCAATGCCTAAGCATTGCAAATTGGCTGAAAATACACTACATGCTTTTAATTTGTAAATTACGACATGAATTTATAGATAACCATTTATTAGTTTATAATTATATAAAAGTAAATGAAATTTCCTTTACAAAGGTGGCTATATTTTTGGTCTACGTAATCGAGTTTTTATGTAATAACAGCCTAGATTGTAACTAACAAATGCGATCAATTGCGCAGTCCGTGAATTCTTCATCAGGTTTCACTTAGTATTTTTAGTATGTTTTTAAATATAAATCGTTTTATAATATGGATAAATATATCACGTAATGTATTAAGTTTAGGGATATAATGAATAATAATCACACACTTATCGATCTTATCTTTTTACTAAACCCAATGTTTTACAAAGAGTCGCTAAAATGGCTTGTACTTGTGATTTCAACACCTCGAAAATATTATTGTAATCATATTTTGATAAAATAACATAAGCAATTTCTTTCTTATTTTAATGGCTATGCATAACATTTAAAATATTTGAAGTGCTCCTCTAGAGTAAGTCATAAATTAAGTTTTATTGACGGCGGGTCGAACGTACGAAACACTGTCCTGACCTACTGGCAAAGTAAGCTACAAATTTTTTTACGCAAGCAATCGAGCAGGTAGAAAAGTGGTAAATAAGGGAGGTGACACAGGGTAAATTTTAAAGATTTATATTTTTATTTATTGCACAGACTTTCATTATAAGTTTTTATAATAGTAATTTTACTGTTTTCAAAATTTTTATTTTCAAAATCGTCGAAATATTTGTTTTCAAAGTCAAAATCGGCAATTTTTCATACCCTGTATCTACTTGAGCGCTGTTGTGGAGAGTTTTTGAACTGGTATTTACTGCTTACAGATGGACACATTTTCGACTATTCTCCTATGGGAGATTGCCTTCTTACCTCTATACTCCATGGTAGTGAACGATTATATAGCCTACGTTAGTACTCTTATTAGTTTGTGATATAGCCTTTTTCAACGTTCCTTCCATGGAGCTTAGAGAACAGGAGAATGATCACTACGTGCTAAAGCATAGCCCACCTGTCCCAGAAAATTAGTAGAATTTATAGCCGCGCTGCCATCGGTAAGTAGTATCTGCGAAGTAATTTTTGACAAAAAGAAACATTAAAAAATGGTGAAACATTGTAAATAAAATAATAATAATAAATTATTTATGTATATTTATTTATGTATATTTATCATTTTCATTCACAATTATATATTTATGGAACCCAACCAAATGAGAAAACTATATAGATAACGCAATAATAACAATAAAATCGTAGGGAAGTGATGACCCCGTCACCCGCTGACGTAACGGTTATGTGACAAAACTGCTACGTCAACGCAGTCAGTTAGCACCTTGCCAAGAGGTGTTAGTACCGTGCCTTGGCAAAAATTGGCAAGGCCCGATTGTGTACATGGCCCCACCATGAAACGACGCTGGGTCTGGGCGTCTCCCGTTAATTGACACCAACTAAAATGGATGATGGAATTTTATAGAATGCGCAAAGGGCCGCTGTCCGGAGGTCACCTGGGTGCGTCTCGAGCTGGCGCTGGACGCGACAGTATGCGAACCGCCAGCCGAGCGCGAGGTGCTGCACGACCACCCAGCAGCCCTCCGCATCCATCATCCCCACAAGCTAGTTTGGTGTCGGCAGGGTCTTCGCGGGCCCAGCAATCGGCGCCTGCCACTGGTGGAGTACGACGCATGCGATGGACCATCAAAATGAATACCAACGCATTGCGGGCGTATTTTAGGGCGAAAGAGAGAGAAATTGGAGGTTTTGCATATCGGGCTAGGATGCATCGTCTTTTTGCTGAGCTGGAGCCATCTATAACCGTCATAGATCAAAACCTGGGGTTCTAACCTGGGGTATATCTTGCGCTCAAATATATTTGATATCGTCGAACTCGAACGGCTACGACGTGAAGCTGTTCCCTCATTGAATGAAAATGCTACGGCTGAGGATGCATCACCACAAATTGCAGAGCAACCCGCAAACGTGGATGCCGTCGTGAATACCCCAGTTGTGGTTGATTCAAATGATGATGAACCAGTCGCCCAGGAACTGGAATTAGAACTTATGATGACACTGGAAGAGGTGATTGTGGAAACTCTCAAAAATTGACCGCGACTTCATCGCGTAGTCCTATGCAAACGGAATTGGGCTGACGTGAGGGTTCCGAACCCAATGCTGGTGACCCATTTGGAAGCCAGCCGGGACCTTTGCGAGACGGACTCAATTCTTTTTGGCGCCACACTGGCAGTATGCCGTATTATAGGCGCCAAACTTTCCATGGCTGGACGCGCTACTGGACAAAGTAGCGCTATCCCAGCCTGGAGAATAAAAATTGAAGAACGTATCGCAAAGGCTAGGCCCCTTATCGGCAGACTGATATATAGACGACCTGAAGCAGAGAGTCCTCGTCGAGTCCTCGAGCTGTACAGTTACAGACTTCCTCGAGCAGTGTATGGGGAAGTGGAGTACTATCCTTTGTCATAAGGGTAAGCGGATGACGGCTGTGGAAAGTCACATAAGGATAAGAAGGGGTATCTTCCAGGGCTATTGTCTGAGTCCAATCTGGTTCTGGCTCTCTTTGAACCCTCTCAGTACTTTACTGGAGGACTCCGGGAGGAGATTTCAGCTTCGAAAAGGAGGTTCAAAAGTGACCCGCCTTTTCTATATGGATGACCTCAAATTATTTGCCTCCAGTCGCTTCCATCTTGTGGAATTGCTAAACATCACTTATGAATTTAGCAGTTCTATTGGAATGGAGCTGGGAACGGATAAGTTTGCGGTCTTCCATGTTGAAAGGGGAAGGGTTGCTAACTCTAAGGGCATAGACTTATCTATGCCGGTCAACTTAAGAACCCTTTCCGAAACTGAAACATACCGATACCTCGGTATGTCAAAGAACATCGGTATCGATGAGGCTGGTTTGAAACAGCTAGTTTGCGACGTGTTTTATGCACACTTGACCAAAGTGCTTAACAAACTTTTGTCCGGTGTGAATAAGACACACGCATATAACGGCTGGATCATGTCTGTCCTCATGTATACCTTAGGCATACTCAAGTGGACTCAGACTGAACTTAACGCCTTAGATAGAAAAGTCCGCACTACTATGACGTTCCATAGGATGCATCATCCGAGATCGTCGGTAATGAGGCTGTACTTGCCGCGAAAGCATGGTGAGCGTGGCTTTCTGAGCGTGCTCACCATGCATAATCGCGAAGTGTCCAGCCTCCGTAATTACTTCCTGGCGAGATCAGATGATACATTCTGTAATGACGTCGTTTCTAGTGATAAAGTGCTTACCCCTCTATTCTTAGCCAACGAGCAATGGCAGGACACAGCAGTACTTAGCATTTCCAACTGGAAAACCGTATGGAAGAAGAAGGGGCTCCACGGGAGGTACTACAGGACTCTACATGAGCCCTTCGTTGATACAGTCGCCTTTCTCAACTGACCTCTTCGGTAAAACCGAGGGTTTTGTCTGTGCAATACAGGATCAGGTTATTAAGACCAACAACTATCATAAATACGTACTAAAGGATGGCACCGTCGACATCTGTTGAGCTTGTTGCCATCACGTTGAGTCCCTTAGGCATGTCATCTCCGGTTGTTCGGTGCTTTCTAACTCTGAGTACTTGCACAGGCACAACTTAGTAGCCCGAATTCTTCACCAGGAGCTCGCTCTAAAATACGGTCTCGTGGACCGGGACTTGCCGTATTACAAGTACTTGCCGAAAGCCGTGCTCGAAAATGAACGCGCCAGGCTCTACTGGGATCGGGCCCTCACAGACAGGATTCTTCTTGCGAATAAGTTGATATTGTGCTGATGGACCGGTCACAGTCAAGGATATTTTTAGTCGAAATTACCATTGCGTTCGACGAGAACCTCGTGAAAGCCGAAACAGATAAGCAAAAAAAATGTCTGGATCATGCTCACGAGGTGACCAACATACGGGGGGGGGGTCTGCCGACCGAAATTATTCCTGTAGTCGTTTCTGCAAACGGGTTTATACCAGTCAGCCTCTCGGGTCATTTGACGCGACTGGGACTCCGTGATGGACTACTCCAGGCTCAAATGCAGAAGGCAGTGTTCCTCGATACCGCCCGCATCGTACGCCGGTTTTTTTTCCTTTCCGCCTAACCCTCGGTCGTTTGGTCTCCTTTGCTGAGGGCCCCCATCTGGTTGGGCTTTTATTTATTTGTGTATTATTTTTTTATTCATTTATTTTAGTATATTAAATATATATTTATGTATATTTATCATCTCCTTTTATATATTTATTCAGCTCATTCAGAGGAGAATACTCTATTAATACCCCTAAATAATAATAACTTCGCTAGTTACACGTATATTAAACGTTGATAGATCATTTCAAAGTAGCGCACAACAGCCCGCTTTTATTGGGACAATTTAGCGATGTGAGAGACAGCGGCTCACTAATTTTGTCCATATTTTTGGACACTATTTTCTACAGCGATCGTTCTCCTTTTCTCTAACCTCCATGTTGCTTTCATAGAACGATATGGACACTGACCTCTATATATACAAGCACACGAGGTCAGTGATGCCGACGCATTAAAGTATGGAATGTAGAGGTAAGGAGTACAGACTGTAAAAAAAAGTGTCCATAGGAAAGCGCTAAATAAGGGTGGCGCCATGGTAGCTACGGTCTAAATTCTAAAGAACTTAATATATTGTTTTTTATTGCACAGTCTTTCACCATAATTCTTTTTAGAATAATTATTTTATTGCTTTAAAAATTTTTATTTTCAAAATCACTCTCAACGTATTTTACGGTGATTTATCATACCTAGTAGCTACTCGAGCGCTGTTGTGGAGAGTTTTTGAACTGTTATTTTCTGTTTACGGATGGACACATTTTCAACTATTCTCCTATGGGAGATTGTCCTCCTTACCTCTATACTCCATGCATAAAAGAAAGGAATTATGGAGTGTAGAAGTAAGAAGTACCAACTCCCATAGTAGAATAGTTGAAAAAGTGGCCACCTGTAAGCGGTAAATAACAGTTCAAAAAATATCCACAACAGCGTTGGAGTAGCTACTGGGATGAAATTCACTTAGCAGTTGTCGGCGGTTTGAAGTGTGCTGCTAAACTGCTCAGTAGCTCAAAATCTAAAATAATTTTATTTAGTAAATATAACCTCGAAAAAGTCGTCTATCCCACTAATATTTTTCGGTACGTTCTTATGTACGCTCTGACAGCGCGCGACATGTTATACTCCCGTTCGCTCGGGACCTTAATGGCGGGAAAATTTGTAAGTTAGAAAAATTTTTGCTATATTGCAAATTTTGCTATATTTTCACTTTGAGACAATATTTATGGATAAAACTTACAGGATTTCTTGTTGAATGTATAAACTATCGAATAAAATTATTTTTGGTTGCTAGAAATTGTAATAAAATACATAAATTACCCTGTATAGCATAGTAGTAGTATATACTTCAATTTTACAAAATTACTACTAATTTGAATTCTACACTTTTGTTTTTGGAGAAATTTATATGAAAATGTTTGGAAATATGTATATTTTTATGTTTTATGTGTTTCTATTCGTTACTCATACCAAAATATTAAAAAATTAAAAAAATAAATAATAATATTTTATCTGTATGACATTTCGAACAATATTTCAAAAATAGTTTTGTGTGAATTTGAAATAAATACAACGTCAAGTTATTTGAAATATGTAAGAAAACTATTTTAACTTACATTTTACACTAAAAATAAATGAGAATTTGAAAAATAACACATTTATAACCCAACCGCCAAAATGGGCCTTCCGGATTTTGAAGTACTTTTGGCAATTTACTTTTCACTTTTTATGCCACAAATTATATATCTACGTGTTTACTATATTACAAGGAATATAAAAAAGTATAATACTTTCGTTTTTAGTCCAGATACAAATATAAAATTCTATAAAAAAGACGGAGCACCTTCATCAAAGCGACACGTGGAACGCCGAAAGTTCAGAGTGATTTCTTTTTTTTTTTTCTAAGAAACATTGTCAGGTTATGGTTTAAAATAAAAGAGCATATCTTTGTCTTTGATACTGTTATCTATTGCATAGTGTCTTTGGTTTTGTTTAAAACGAAAAAATAGTTTAAAAAAAGTTTTCATAGGGCAGTAATTCTGATCTAATTAGTGCTCTTTTGGAGCGGACGCAAGGTAGGTATTGTACGATCTAAAGTGCGCATCTCTTGAAGCAACAGGTTAAAGTATAATACACAGTCTGTACTCCTTACTTCTACACTCCATACGAGTGACTATACTCTATTCCAATTACGAAGTCCCATTTGACAGATGTCAATAATCAAGTACTAGTAAAGTACCACTATAGTCGATACTTGACGATATTGATCTTCGATTACTATAACGAACAAATTAAAATCCTATTGACAGAAAAAGGATTAACATAAATTAAAATTTATAAAACAGTTTTTTTAATTTTAATTAGATAATATTACATGATATTTTTATCAAGATGGAACATATTCATCATCACTAGCCGAAATCGATATTTCATGGTCGGCATCGTCGTCATCACCCTCATCATCGTCTGTAGAATCTCCTGTATTTATTATAATTTAGTTATCTATGACGGCATCGATACGTATGTCTCTGTCCTAATCAGAGAAAATCAAATTTTTTGTTCGTAAAACCACACTTTCCCAATTCGTGGCAGTAACACTATCACAAGCTCCTTGCAACAATGACAGCATTTTGTTTGCAGTAAACGGAGGATTGGTATTTTTACGATCCGCATAACCTAAAATAAAGGTTTGCGTGTTACTATAGCAACAGATAAAATGTTAAAATAGGTAAAAATAAATTATAAAAAAAGATTTGTTTACATTCTTGCCTTTAATTTGCGCCCTAATCAATTCCATAGCATTGTATTGACAATGGTAGGGTGGAAGGCGCATTACATTGTGTCCGGCTTCCTTAGCCATTTCGTCCAATACGTATTTTGTTCTGGCTGGCTTATTTATAGCAACCAAATGCAGCAGCTCAACTTTTAACATAGACATGTCAGCAACAATATCATTGTCATTCAGCCATTTCACTATATCGGCTTTTTTGCTGATAGAAGTTGGAGGCTTACTTATTTGTACTGAATGATACGGTGCATTATCCATAATGATCGTCGATGGCTCATTGAAGTTGGTCAATAAGGTACAAAACCATTCCTTAAATTTTACAAAATTCATCTCTTCGTGGTATTCCACAGTTTTCTTAGATTTAAACGCCAAGAGGCAGTTCGGAACAAATGCCTTCATGAAACCCGCATGACAAATAATTAAGCGTTCGCCTTTGCCACTAGGTACTTTTGTGGAGGAGTTAGGAGTGTCGTCTGTCCATATCTTGTCAACTGTATGATTAGCGTTTAGCCACGTCTCATCTAGAAATATAACATTATTCCAAACGGCAATGGATCTTAGAAAATTAAATCTGGCTGAAGCTATATCTCTACGTTCCATCAAAATCCGCCTTTTATAACATTTTTATAAGAAAAGCCAACATTTTTTAAAACCCTCCAGAAAGAAGTTCTACTGCCGTGAAACATTCCAGATTCTCGTAAAGTATTTGACAATTTATCGAGAGTCGGCAATTCGTTCCTACTATAGTAGCCATAGATATGGTTTCTAGTGGCGTTGTTATCAAAATTGTTGATATGTGTAACTATCGATCTTCTAACTTTTTTTCTTAAGTGGCGATTTTAATTTGTTATCTTCCATTAAATCTTTACCATGTTTTTCCTTACTTATTCGGGAAACAGTTTTTCGACTAATACCGAGAGCTGCACTTATTCGGTTAGTCACTTGTGAAAGTGGCAACAATGGACCACCATTCTGATACACTCTTTCAAAGTAATCTTGTAGGCGTACTACAAACTCTCGCGCTTGACTGCGCATCACTGTTCTTTTAGTAGTCTCAGTTTCGGCCATAGTGTTTATAAATACAAAAAAAAATCAAATAACAGTCAAAACTTAATAACAACGAAAGAATTATTAAACAGTTATAACTACAATACAAGACCGAAATAAAAACACAACACAAAATCAACTAAACTGAACACGCGTATCGTATACAAACAAGGCTTCTGCACTCGTACATACGTAAGTATCATATTAGTCTGTGACTCGTACTGAAGAGACAAATAAAATGGCGGTCGTGATATAAATTATAGAAATGTTAACCCAGATGCAAACACATTTATATATGCCTTTAAATCTTTGATATTATCTAACATGCTTAGTCCACATTCCAAATTCTCTAATTGTGAAGAGGATAATGGAGAAACATTATTAAATGTTAGTGTTCTTTTTAAAAACCTCGGACTCGGAAAACACTACCAGTGTTTTGCGAGATCTCCCATCTTCTTCACAAGCAATTTCAGGAGAAAAATTGCTAGTGAATGATGTAGTCATGGAAAAAATTAAAGTCCACTGCTCAGCTTACACTGCTGGATACATTTGTCGGAAAATAACGAAAGCGATTCGTTGTAAGGATTGCATCAAAACATATATTAGCAGTACGGAGACAAACATTCACTCTTACATTAAATTTAGAGAGTATAAATTGTTAAAAAATAATAATTTGGCATACCCTAACGAAAAATTCCTTATCTTGTACAGGGATGGTACTCACTTTATTCATAACTATTTGAATTATAGCTGGATTGGAAGTAATATAGAAAGTAATTTGAAAAGAAAATTATTGAGCACTTTAAGTTTGTCCTGCCTAGGGTGTGATAAGCATGCATTAATTGTCAAAAACTTTTTCGTCAATATTTTAATTAGATTACATGGACACAATTGGTGCAACATAAATAATAAAATATTGAAGGGTGATATTGATGAAAAATATGTATCTAAAATGGGTGAACCCCAAAAATTGGCCCTAAAGAAGTATAAATCGTTTTAGGTTAAGAAAAACATGTTTAAGTAAATAAAATGTTGATGAAGTGACGACCTGGATATGCTGGTGGCTTAGGACCGTGATTTGTGGCATTTCTTGGGGAAACGTTCAGCAGTGGACTTGTGAAGAGCTGTAATGATGACGGTGGTGGAATAAAATTCGATTTCTGAAACGTAAACGCTGTTTCAGGTCCCCGCAAAGCAAGTATATAACGAGGCGATATTGCGAATGGCTATGTTGTGTGTGCTGGACAGGTACGTTTGGCGCCGGCAGCGGCCCCCGCCGTTCGGCTCAGCAGAGCGGCGAGCTGGCGGTGCGGGACGCCCTGGTGCAGAGCCTGCGCGACCGCGACCACGAGAATCGCGCCACCATCGACCTGCAGCGCAAGGTCCCGCACTATGACACTACACCCACACAAATTGGGACAAACCCTGTTAGGATTACGAATGGGGGTGCGTCGCACCTGCAGACGGGCACGACGCGTTCTAGCACATACCGCGTACACACCGTACACCCGCGTTCCTGGGCGGTTCTCACCGCCCAGACCATCGACCGCCACGAGCCGAGCAGTCAGAGGCGGTGGTCCGCACTCTCCCCCTCGGACAGCGGGTAGATAGCTCAATAACGACATAAAGACAGAGGTAGAAATAAATAAAGTTACTCCCTAAAAATCTCTGATTGATGTTGATATTTGTTTATTTTTCAGATGCTTATCATGGAAAGATCTCCAAGTGAAAGTACCAACACCAAGGAGATAAATGTTCTTTTTAAAAGTAATTTATATTTTTTTTATAGTATAAGGGTGACAAACGAGCACACAGTCCACCTGATGGTAAGTGGTTGCTGTGGCCTATAGACATCTACATCTATCTTCGATTATGAATCAAAATGCAGATGCATTGTCACACGTGAGATGATAATATGGAATGATATGATAAGATGGAATGCCTCGTTTCCAGTTAAAAGGGGTCTCCGGTTCTCTACACTCACCATACGAAACACAGCAGCGTTAAGCTGCTATTTTACGCTGGTATTCTCTGACAGTTTGGTCCCTCCCCGGTCAAGCCGACCCATTCGTGCTACAACTATACCAGTAATATACCTGCAGCATGGCTCTACCACGTACAATTGCCATATATAACTTAGTTATATGATAATATAGATCACTTTTGAATTATGATAATACTAAACTGCCGTTAACAGTAGCCATACAGCATTAATACATACCATACAGAAGTATACATTATATATTTATTCTTTAATTTTGGGTTTATGTATAAGAACAAAATTCACAAATATTGTTGGTTTTCAGGAACAGAAACCTAATGCTGATGTGGTGAGACAAATGTTGACAGAAGATACAAAATGTACACATTGGCAAAAAGGTATGATAAATTCAGTTTATTCTTAGACATAATTAGGTAAGTTTCAACATATCTATTATATCTATATTCAGCATATCTATCCTCAAATCACGGTAAGAGTTCTTTGTTCTTCATCTAATCTAAAGATTACAGTTCCACTACACTTCAATGGTTTTATCAACAACTCCTTTAGTATTAAGGTTACACATATTTGGAACTCCGTGCCTGAAGACATTGAGAAATCTCCTGATAATGGATGTATACAGTGTTAATCTTTATATGTTTTTTATTTCTTATTTACTGTATCTACCACTTTATTTTCACCACACCATGGGTTGACCAATAAAAAATGGCAACTGCCATGATGCCACCCTTTGTTACCTTAATATAAATAATATATAATTTACGATTATCATTAAGTCATAAAATATGAATATTGAACTTTATTTTTATTTATTTCTTTTCAGGTTACGTGGTGTAGAAAATGAAATTAAAGAAGAGAATATGTTTTTTTAATTTTTGTAAAAGAATTCCCAGGTTTACCCCTAATGAAAAATAAATAGCATTGCTTCTAATAAAAAATGACTTGAAAAGTAAAATATTAAGCACTTAAATGTGATTCCTGTGGTTTAATTTGCTTTATTTAATGAACTATAAATATTGCTCTGTTTCTCGTCAAATTGTAATTATTTATGTAAAATGTTATGTACAATTTTCTAATTTGTATATATGACTTATTACGTTTGTATGTATATAATGTTTGTGTGCTTGAATAAAAAATAAATAAGGTAGATGTATTATAATTGTTTCATTAAGTAATATTATTCTTGTATATTGCACTTATGTCGATATCGATAAAATAAGAACACCACTAAACATCGATATCGATAATTTGAAGGATGTGTGCTTGCAATCCCTAAGCTATACATGTCATTACTCATCTGTCAAAATGGGCGACTGCAGCGCCAAAAGGCGTAGTTGGGAAACTTGACTAAAAGTCACTGTCGTATCTGTAGTCTGTAGCTTGCTACATATTTATTTATCTATGGTCGTGATCACGAGGTGGACGCAGTGTTGTCAGATTTTTACTCACGAAAAGAATCTGTCTATAATCGATTTTATACGATTATTTTAATCACGTCACTATGTAAAAAAGTAAAAATAAAACTATAGAACATAAACGCAAAACGACAGTTAAATATTATTATCTTTTAAAGTTTTAATTATTTTGAGCACCATGTCTAAAAACAATATGTTGGTTGTGTGTGTGAATTAATTGTATAATGATTTAGATTGATTGTGTATTTTTAAATGACGATTTACGACCATGAACAAAAAATGATTATTATTTCAAATTATGCGAAACGTGAAGAGTTACGTCCTAAGAAGTGTCAAAAGGGACTTCGTAATTGGAATAGAGTTTATGGAGTGTAGAAGTAAGGAGTACAGACTGTGTATTAAAAAGTGTCCATAGAAAACCGTTAAGACTTTTTCGAAGTTATAATTACTAAATAAAATTATTTTAGATTTTAGAGCTACTGAGCAGTTTAGCAGCACACTTTAAACTGTTGACAACTGCTAAGTTCATTTCATCCCAGTACTACTCCGGCGCTATTGTGGAGAGTTTTTGAGCTGTTATTTACTGCTTACAGATGGCCACTTTTTCAACTATTCTATTGTTACGAGCTTACGGTTCGTGACAATAAAAACTGCCAAATGATTTTTTTTATTCTTTTTAAAAAACGTTACCCCTACACTAAGATTTTGTCTTGTATCGTAGGGGCAGTTTACAAACATAAATTGCACAAGGACAAACATCCAGATCCGGAACAACTATTTGTAGGCCATACAAATATTTGTTCCGTGCGGAATCACCAAAATTATCACTTTAATTATCGAACACCAATTTAAACTTAAAACACTAATAATTAATCACACTGATTCACTTTATTTCGCTCCGAAGCTTCGCTTGTCTCGCCAAATTCAATACTGCCCCGATAGCGGACTGCAGCGGTTTTAAATACACATTTTCCACCGAAACATCCAGAATATTCTAGTAAATACGGGCGCTGACTGACCAGGCTTTGAAAGTTCGAGTGTGGGGCTTCTAGAAAGCTTAGTTCTTCAATTCGATACTAGATGGCGCTGTTGGTTGAAAGATTAGTCATGGCATTTTCTGGAAAGCTCTCCTCGCTCTGTTACCCGACACTAGATGGCGCTAGTGCCAGGTACCAGCCGTCAACTTAGGCGCGCAACACTACTATGGGAGTTGGTACTCCTTACTTCTACAATCCATACGAGTGACACTGACTGTTTTGATGCTTGACGGACGGATTCAGTGTTGCTAATACTAAAGTAAAATAACCCTATCCTATAATGTAACGCTACATGTTTAAGTTGTTGCTAAATTAAACAAATAAATAAAATCCTATCCTTTAGTGTATTTTGATTATTTTGATGTATTAATTCATTAATTGAAGGCTTGTTTTTATACATAACATATAAATAAATTATTTTTATGAGTTTAGCTATTGTTTTTTCCCTACTCTGATCTTTTTAAGTATAATATGGCCACATTAAAAGTGCTATAGAGTGACGTCAAAGAGAAGAAATCACTTTAAATACCCTTTAAACTTGATTATTTTTCAACAGCTGCTATGAAATGTTAATAGTTATTCATAATTCTTTTTTTATTTTATTTAAATTAATAGGAATAGTCTTATTTTTGTACAGCTTGTGGCACATTTTGGCCATCTCATTTACTATTACTAACATACAAAGAGTACTCACAGTTTTATTTGATACCACCTTGCACAGCCGTGGTAGCTCAGATGGTTAGCGCTCGCTGTAAAGGGGAACGCCCACTGTTCATAGACACTTCGGCCATGGGTGCCCACATATAAAAGCATATGGAAATGATAATATGCAATTAAAATAATGAAATAGTTAAGGAATTGGTTTAAAAAAAGTCGGGATTTTTATGATATAAAAGTTTTTATTTTCACAAATACAGTTTTTTAACGACTACTTTTACCAATTTTATTACTTTTAATTTCTTTGACTTTTAATTCCCGATGTTTCACGTGCTTTATAGCACCCATTGTCACGGGGGACTGAGGTGACTGCCATCCCGATGTCAGTATTAACATGGAGTACCTTCAGCTTTTTATTATTATTTTTATATTCCAATCTACGCAGATTGAACTTACTTTATCTTTAAGTATTGCAGTGGTATGCTTGGGTTTTGTTTTAATTTTATTTTATTTTCTTCTTCTTCTTTTAAATTATGGCTTCTCTTGGTAGAATTCTGCCAGTGTCAAGTCAGTCATGGAAGTGACAAGATAATAATAGTAAAAATAAGAGTTCTCAATTTAATGAGTGGGTTCACAATCTACAACAAAAGACGTCACATATTTAAACTACCATCACCAAAGTTGTTAAGTAATTTTACAGTTTAATATTACTAGTACGAATAAAAGCACATAAAATATTTACGAAGGGAGTATACACTATGCTTAGCAAAAATTGGAAATTTACTGGACGAGGGATGTAATTGGGCAGGATATCGTAGAGAGAGAAAGAAAGTTTAGGACACTCAAAGAACAGATGATTGACAGATCCTTCATCTAGGCCACATTCACAGATTGAGCTATCCCTAATCCTGAGTTTGGCCATGTGTACAGGAGTACAAGCATGACCAAAGCGTAGGCGGCAAACAGTAGAGGTGGTAGTTTTACTAAAGTGGCGATATTGAAAGAACCAGGGTTTTGATGGGATATTAATTTGGACTTTGGAATATTGATAACATTTTAAAGATTTAGACTGATGCCAATAACTTTGCCAAGAAGACAGAAGGGCGGAGTTGGCCTTTGGCAGGAGGTCATGTGCATAGAGGCATTGTCTAGGGATAGAGCCAGATTTTGTGGCATCTTTAGCTAAATTATCAGCAATTTCATTGCCCTGAATCCCGCAGTGGCTAGGGATCCAAGCCAATACAATGTTCAGCCCTTTTTTATGACAATAATACATAGACTTTCTAATATTTAAAATTAGCGGGTATCTAATCTTAGAGTGAAAAGGACTGGATAAAATACTTTGAAGGCAACTAAGGGAGTCCGAGAAAATGAGGGTCCTTTTCAGACTATGTGATTCTGCATATGAAACTGCCTCTAAAATAGCCAAAGCCTCACCTGTGAATACAGATGAGTCAGGGGGAGAGTTAAAATTTAAAATAATCCTGTATTTAGGGATCCACACTGCAGACCCTACTAATCCATCGTTACTTAACTTTGAAGCATCAGTGTACATAGTTAACCAATCATGCCAATTTTGGGGGAGGAGCATATTTAATTTGTTATTTACTTCAACAGTATTTTTATCTATTCCGATATCTAGAATAATGTCTGGATTGAAAATTAGAGCCTCGTAAGGGATATTGTAAAGTGGGTTACTAAGGGATTGATAAATTGGAGAGGGAATGTTGAGCAATTTAATATAGCTTTTTATAATGCTTGGCAAATCCTTGTGGGGCCAATATTGGGAGTCCCTGACCAACCGATACAGGGAATTAAGTTTTGAAAGGAGAGAATGGAGAGAATAACATGCTACTTTAAACAAGAACCTATCTGAGAGATATTGCCTGCGTAGAGATAGAGGGGGCTCAACACATTCAACTTGAAGAGCGAGAATGGGAGTGGACTTCATGCTAGCAGTTATTATACGTAGACATTTTGACTGGATTTTGTCCAAGGTATTAAGAGCCATTTTGCTACAAGGCTCTAGTAAGAAGCACCCATAATCAAAGTGACTTCTAATTAGAGCATTGTATAAAAGCTTTTGTGAGTAGGGATGAGAACCCCACCAAGCACCTGATAGAGATCGAATAACATTGAGATTTTTTTCACATTTGGAGGCAATATATGATAAGTGAGGAATTCCTGTCATTTTGTTATCCAGGATTACTCCTAAAAAATTCACTTGATTTTCTGTGGGGATTAGAGTATTATCAATGTAGATGGACACTTCTGGTATATACCTTCGCCTAGAGAAAACCACAGTACTGCATTTTAAAGGAGACATTGATAAACCATGCTCCAATAGCCAATTATTAAGAAAGTTGACAGCTTGGGATAAACGAGAGGTAGCCTCAGTAATAAAGGCATCAGATATATAGGGCTAGATCACCTGCATATTGCAAAATATTACCTAGATAATTTACAGATTTATCTATATCATGGGTGTAAAGGTTGTACAGCAAGGGGCTCAAGACAGAACCTTGAGGTAGTCCCTTCCAGGTAAATCTAGCTGGTAGAAATCTTCCTTCAGAGCGAATTAATATGCATCTATGTGAAAGTAGGTTTGCTATGAAATTTGTTATTCTCTCGGGAATGTTCAGCTGATGCATTTTTTGCCTGAGCAGAGGGAGAACAACATTATCATATGCTGCACAAACATCGATAAAAATACCTACGAGAAAGTTGT